TATCTCAACCCACGAGTTTTCTCACTTTTACCCTTCCAATTCTCTCCCCCATCCCACCGCGGGGGAGTGAGTGAGCGGCTGTGTAGGGCTTAGTTGCCGGCTGGGGTTAAACCACGACAGCGTGTAACCTTTGAACTTGACTGGAAACTTTTCATCTGGTCCAGCTCTTCCCACTCAAGCATCGGACGTGGAGAGCCCGCTCCTCGGGGTCGGCACATGGCATCAGGCACCGCTTGCGAACTTCACTGCGGCTTTTCCTCTTGCGTTTAAAGACTAACTGCAGCAATTAAGAGAGAAAAGCTGGCAGCATCTTCCCAGCCTCTAGAGCAAACAGCGATGGAGACGCCCTTGCAGCAGCCAGATCCTGGGCTTTTAAACCCTTCCAGTCCTTTTAAACCTGATGGAAGTTTAACTCCCTGCTGGCCTTTTCTTCCACACCTTTGCTGCCCGGCTGTGTGTCTCGCAAAACCCATAACACAGAAGAGATCCAAAAAGGATGGGAGATGTGGCAGGAGGGAAACGCACCTAAATTTAGTCTTTTCTTTTTAAAAAAACCCATCACTAAAGAGATGCGCAGCGGGAAGACCACTGCCCGAAGGGGTCTGCATGGGAGCAGCGGCCGTTGCTATGAGAGTTGTTGCTACGGCACAGCTCCCATCCTCTTCCTACAAACAAAACCACACATCACCGGCAAAGGAATCAGCCCTCTTACCTCCTGCTGCTCCAGGGAGGGCTGAGCAGGCATGTTGTACCGGACAACAAACAGCAGCAGCATAGATTTTTACTTCTCCAGATTGAGGTTTTTCTTATTTCAGAGACCGAAGCAGAGGTTGAAGACTCACAGTGCTGGGTACCAGGCAAGATGGTCCCTGCCCCAAATAAATCATCCTCCAAACAGACCAAAGTGGGCAGGAGAATGGGAGGGAAAGGGAAAAAATGTTCATAAGATAAGCCCCAGTCTCCTGGACCTCAGATGAGTGTCCTGCATCGCCCCCAGGTTATTATCTGTCTTTACACACTCGGCACATAACATAAAGGAGTAACCGTACCGTTATCATCCCTTTCCCAGCCGGCTTGCCATTCCCCAAAAGGAGAGTCCTTGTTATTTTCTTGCTGGAGACGATCTAGAGAAGCCAAAGAAAATAAAGTCATGATTGTACAAGCGATCAGAAGCAGACTCATAAGCAACTGATCATTGCTCATGCTAGTTAATTCAGATTAAGCATTCACAACAGTGGAAGAAAGACATCATACTCAGGGATGACCGTGATATGGTGAATATGACCACCGTCACCCGAGTCCATGGGGCGCAGGGCAGCAGCTGAACAGTGCAGAGAAGTGACGGGGCAAGAGGCTGAAGCATCATCTCCTGTTGAACCCAGGGACCAGCTCTTTGCATGGAGCAGGTCAGTGGGACCTCACACAGCCGAAGGACCATTATTTGTTCCCAGCAAAATCACAGCTCAACCTTTCAAACCCCATTTTAAATAATTCTAACATGACCCCTGCCAGCAACTTGCTTTCAGGCCACGTTTCCACGGACAAATCCTGATTACAAGCTGGATGCTCTCCCCCAGCATCATTCTGGACCCCCTGCACAGCTGCTGCCGAGCAACGCACAGGGATCAGCACCCCCCAAAGGCATGTCCCCCCCCTTCAATTCTGGCTTGTAAGAGGCCAGGCAGGACAATCTGGGAGCTGAATTAAACCCCCTGAGATTTTTTCCTAGCTCACTGAGTTTCAGTCACCTTCAGACATGGGGGGGGCAGCAACCTGCTGGAAGTAGCTGTGCTCTGCTCCCATACCTAGTGGGGACCCCTTCGAGATATAGGGGTGGCAGTTTAAAAAGTGCAGTCCCATTCATCCTTCTGCCTCCACCTTTGGTCCTACATCACACAGTCAGAAAATAAGAATAATAATAATAACAAAAAAACCCACATAATGAAATGGCTTAACTTGTTGCTCCTGCCATCCAAGTGACCCAGTCACGCTTGGATTCCTCCCATTGCTCCCCAGAAATGTTCTCCTCCCTCCGGGGAGACCCGGAAATGCACAATCAGAGTGCAGAAACTATAATCACACAGTGATAATTTTGATATCTTTTGGAATGTCATTTGTATTCTTCTTGTAAAGTCCGGTTTTGTCATTACTGTTTAAATGATGTGTAATGAACATTCTCAACTATATTTTTTTTCTCCAACAAAAGCTGTGAGCTGTGAGCAACCTGATCTAGTTGAAGATGTCATTGCAGGAGGGTTGGACTAGGTGGCCTTTAAAGGTCCCTGCCAACCCAAACCATTCTGTGATCCTATGATTTTTGCAATTTCAAGGCAAAAACCCTTCCCCATTGTGGCTAGCCAGCCATGTCTTGGTGCTTTTGATCCATAAATGCACAGGAATCACCAGCCAGCATAACTAGATGTTTGTGCCACGCCGTGCACAAGGAGGCGAAATCTCCTCGCAACCCTGGCTAGCAGGAACCATGGACACCCAGCCTGCAGTTTGAGCCCTGTTACATTTCGTTTGGCCGCAGCAGTCATTACAGGCCCGCGAATGATCCAGCTGCCCTTTTAAATCTTACCACAGACCTAATTAGCTGCAATAAAATAATCTGGCTAATCTGACAGGGCTCTGATGCAAACTCAAAATTGAAAAGTCAGAGGCTCGCTGTGCGGTTGTTGCTGCCCACGGCTGCTCTCCTTCCCTTCTAAGAGCTGCTCGTGCCTCAAAACTGGCCAGGCTTATGGAAACATCTCACCAGACAAAATCTAGACATCAGAAAACCCACAGCAGGGTGGCTGAACCCTCAAACCCCTGTCCGCACTGTTTCACCCCTCTCCTCACCAGGCACCCTTGCACACGTGCTACCCCTCTGGTCCATGTCTGCCCCACAACTGGGCTGTGCTGCAAGCCCGTGCTGGCCACAGGGAGAGGAGGCTAACGGAGAATTTCAGGGAAAAAAGGAAAATGAGAAGATCCCTCCATTCCAAGCTGGTGTCTTGTTGTGGACTAAAGGTCACCAAGAAGCTCACACGGGAAGCGCTGCAAAAACTCATCAGAAACTGGGCACACACATAAGCCAAGTTCTCTTTTGCGGAGTGTAAATACTTGCATGAGATTACAGAAGTTCAGAGCTCTCTTTTTTCTGATGGACTAAGCCCACCAGCTGTGCCTAAAGACACAGTAGACAGTTATGCCATGCCTGTGAGCCACCACTGCTAAACCATCAACTGTTCTGAGCGAGCACCTTGGATGTGAGATCTGCCAACAGCTGCCCAGTCCCCACCATTACCACGGCCCCAGGATGGCCTGTCCAGTCTCACGCTCTAAGCTCATCACCTTTCAAAGCACCAGAAAGGGTAGGGCTCTTCTGAGAGACCCAACAAGCAGGAGGGTCCACCTTTCTCCCCAGTGCATATGGATAATGTTCCTCTCCGGCATGAGCCTGCAGAGCCCTGGACTTCTGTAGAGCCACGTTTAGGAACAGCAATGTCTCAGCTTTGTTTCCTTATGTCCATAAATTGTGTGCTTGCAGCTTCCACCAAGACCATGACCTTCACAAGGAGCATTGCTGAACTGCCCCACGCCAGAGGTGGCTGCATTTCAGCAACGGGACTAAGAGTAAAGGATGGGTTTGGTCTAAACCACTGAACACCGGCCTGGGCTGTTGCCTGCACTGTCTCTTAACTTCTGCAGGAGCAGAATTAGGTCATCACAGAGCAATTTCGAAAACCCAGACATTAAACGCCAAACTCTGTAAATGTCAGTGCTCTTCTAACACGTCAAGCTCTTGAGTTGGCAATGGTAAGGTCACTCGGCCCCCCTTGCCATGTGCAGTGCCATATTGCAGTCTGTGTAATAAAGCACTCGCACTCATGAGCCTTCCTGAACACCTTGGGCTGGCTGTCCACGCCGACCCACCTATTACAGTGTCTCCTTCCTCCCAGTTCCCAGCATCAGACACAACAGGGACAGTTTCTCCCAGCCCCTGCGCTTGTGCCAGGTACCACAGCAACCCCGAGCAGCCGGATGCTGCAAAAGAACGGAAAAAATCCCCCTCATTCCTTGCCTCTGAGTCAGAGCAAGCTCAGAGGACAAAGACGTTTGGATAACGGTAGCTGCCAACTTCTAACAGGGTCTGGGCTCACGAACACAAAGACCTTCCAAAGGCTTATAAATCGCATTGTGTCCCAAAAGCTTTTCCACAGGAAGAGCAGAGGACACATTCCTGCACCAAGATGCTAAAGTAGGAGAGATGATTTGCTACACAACGGCAATGGATAAAGCTTTGGGGGGAAAAAAAGAAAAAAAAAGAAAAACAAAACTGAGATAGAAAGGTAGACCGCAATGCATCCTAACTTTAAACATCTGGAAGTTTCCCTAGTCCAAATCCAAGCTTGTCATCAGGGCTCTTGCTATAACCCACGGTGAGATACAGGTATCTCCAAAAGCTTCCAGTTGATGTCTCTCTGCAGGCATTAGCAGAAGCCCACAGTACGACCAGCTTAGACTTGGGCAAGTAGCCAACAGCCCTAACGTGGAACAGTTCAACCTCAACAGTTGAAGTGTGACAAGTAAATTAAATTATTTTTCCCAGGAAGGACCCAGCAAACTTTACAGTAGATAAAAGTAGCAGCTCTAATCCTCCCATGTCCCTGTGGCTGACGTGATTTGGAGTCCCTTTGCCGGAGGACAGCAAGCTGCAGGGACCTCAGAGACTCACCGTGCCCAGCGTGCAGGAGAATTCGCCCAGGAAGTCATGCTCATACAGCTGCATGCTCGACTTGTCCTGGTCAAACAGGGCAAACTTGAGCTTCTGCACTTCTTCAAAGTGGTAGTCAACAATGAACTTCTTGGCGAAAGCTGGGTTGAGGTTGTTCACGGCTGTCTCTGTCCTGTCGAGCTGCAAAGAAAAAAAAAAGAGGCATTTAGGCATGTGCCTCTTGCATCTTTGTCACTGCCATGTCTCTTCTCTGACTTCAGCCAGAGCCACCCAGGAACTCTGCAGTGACCATCAGAGAGTGAGAGCAGCAGGCACTCAGCAGAGCTATCCCTAAATGCAGGCCGTGATACCCAGTGTACGCAAGGTGGGATCCGTCTAAACGGGTAATGGCACTTCATGCAGAGAGCTGCATCCCCGAGGACGGGGTGCAGGGGGCTGTACAAGCCCACCCCAGCCAACAGCCAGGACAGGAGCGCCCACCCAGCCAAGGCTTGGTGTGGACTCAAGGCTCATTGAAGCCAGAGTCTTTGCTGGCTTCTAACCCCTGTTCTCCCAGGAGCTGATGCTCTCACACGCTGCTCCTCAACCAAGACACTCACAGCTGTAATGCCAAACCTGTTTCTTTCAGGCTGTGCAGCTAACAGCAATGGCAAGCAAAAAGAAAAAGAGTCACGAGCCAAAACAGCAACCCTCTATCATTTCCCTCTAGACCTCAAACCAAAACATTCATGTGGTTTCTTCTTTCTTGGCCTTCCATGGAAAAAAAGAGAAAAAAAAAAATCACCACAGGCCATTTTTCATAGATTTCATCAAGCATTAGGAGAAACAAGAGGCTGGAAGGACCCAGAAGACAAGACTTCAATAGACTTTGTCATCCTGAGCTATTGCAAGCAGGTTGGAAGAAATGATGTCTCCGATGGCTTGGAAGGGCAAGTGCACAGAGGATGATGGAAACTGGAAGGCATGTGGGGAACCTGCCGTCGGAGGGGAAGCACCACGGCAGTCTGCAGCACCCCGCAGCCAAGAGCAGCGATAAGAGCAGAGGAAACTTGGCAGGCAGCCGGCGGAACTGTGGGTGTACAAGGCAGCATGGCACAGGCGGACAGAAAGCCTTGCGTGAGCCAAAAAAAACCCCAAACATATCCCAGGGACAGCCACGCCGGAGGTCTCGGGACGCTGCCCTCCGGTAATGGAGCTTCTGTCCCAGACCCCGTAACTCAGACCACAGGAGGGCTGGGAGGATGGCAGCACCAGCCAGGCGCCCGGCGCGGGCTCACACAGACACAGCAACCCACAATTTTAGCCAAAATGACAGAAACTGGGAAAACGAGGCCAAAAAAAGGCTGGTGCATTTGCTTCTGGAAGTCAATGGCCAAGGAGGGTCTGAACTCTAATGTCAGGACCCATCATCCCCACCAGGCCATCATCCATCCCGAGAGGCACCAGGAAAGGGCAAGTTTGGAGCCCAACATGCAACATACCCGTAGGAAGCCAAAACAGGCAGCAAGGATGCTGGCGGCACAGCCCGAGTGCTGAACGAGAAACGAACACCCGCAGCCTGGGGGAAACTCTCCAGCAAGCAAACCAAGTAGGAGCTTTGTCAGGAGAGCAGCTATTGCTATCGTATTGATATCGTAAGAGGTGGCAGCCGGTTTGGCGAAGGGCGTCCTGCCCAGGCAGCCCCACGGGAAGCGCCGACAGCTCCGAGCATCTGAGCTGGAACAGCCACACGCCCACCAGAGCTGGCAGAGGAGCTGGCAGCATCGGCCTTTTGCCACATCGCCCTGTTATCCCAGGATATGGTAACAGGGGCTATTAAAACAGAAAGAAAGGCAGGCGCTCGGCAGCATGATTTTATCAAAAGCTGCTGCCCTCCGTGCCTGGAAAGACCATCCCATCTGCCTGCGGGACAGCACGGAGCCTCCGGCCATGCCAGCATCCCGCCTCGTCTCGCAGCCAGGACACCCAGTCCCAGGCAAGGCTGAGCCGCCTGCGCATCCCAGGTCCCAGGGCAAGACCTCTACGGAAAGCAGCCCCCGCACCGGCAATCCCCGGGCAGTGCCGGGCTGCGGGACGGCGGGATGTCTGCCAGAGCTGCGGAGCCAAGAATAAGTACAGCAGAGCAGAAAAAAGCCAAAAAAAAAAAAAAGCCAAAAAAAAAAAGCAAACACATACCTTGGTCCCAAAGAAACTCATTCAGCGCAGGAGGCAGGTTTTGGAGGGACTGAGTGGAAATGTGGTGAGTTTGCTATATATACCAGCTACCGCAGTGTTTTTTGAAGTTGGTCGCTTTGTCTGTCTTAATTGCCAAGAAACAACTAAATGCTGCGTTCCCAGAATAGCCACCTGCTGCACTCCGGGGAACCAAATACATCAACACTAGTGGGCTTCAAGCTGGCCAGGGCCATGCAGCTTCACGCAGATCCTTCCTTCTCTGCTGCCATCCTGTACAGAAGGACCCCAAACGTCTGCTCAGAGATGCGGTGGGCCAGGAGCAGTGGGCATCCACGAGCTCTACCTTATTTCAGCAGCACAACACAGGCAAATCCCCTTTCAAGCCTAGGAGATGAGATTGTGCAGGCAACAGAGGTGGATTTTAGCTCCTTCCATGTTCTCTGAACTACTGGGAAGCCGGGGACCGAGGGAAACCAGTCCTCCCACTCCCAGGTGCCAGTTCGAAGGAGATAACTTGAGGTCCCATCTCCAGCTTTGCTCTGGAAGGGGCGGCCCAGGGAAGAGGAAGAGAAACCCAGCCAACGTGTCTTGAGCTAACCCTCCGGAGTGATGGGGCTTCCTTCAACACCCAGATTAAACCGAGCATTTAATCTCCTGGCTATTGTCAGTGTGAAGCACAACAAAATCACAAGCCCCAGCTGCTTGCTGCACATGGCTTGGTCTTTGATTTGACGCAGCAGCGGTCACCTTGCCAGTGACCATCACGTATGAGGCCTCTTCACACCACCTCCACCAGTAGACAAGCACGCCATCAGCTCCTGCCTTCCCCTTCACCCTCAAGGTTTACACATCTACCTTCCCTGTAAAGAGCAGAGGTGGCTTTGCCACCCAAGAGCAGAAAAGCACAAGGGTTTTTAAGAGTCAAGCAGCCTAATCAAAGATTTCTGTTTGGATAAGAGTCTTGATTCTACAGATCAAGCATGAAACTGGGAAATCATCTCCAACGACAGCCCTTGTGTTCAATGAACGCAGCCAGAGAGTCCTCCAGCATCCGAAGGGAGGTTGGCTAAGGACCTTCAAGCATGTGGAGATGCTTGATGCTCCAACACTGGGAGATGCTCTCCCAAGCGCCAAGGAAAGCTCATGCGGAAGGCACAGGGCTGGCAGGATGACTCAGAGCAGCACAAAGGCACGGCTGAGTCATGTGTCCCTGCTCCCGGCATCACAGGCCAGGTCTTTCATGGCTCCTGAGAGATGACGTCATCAGGCAGAACATTTAAACATCACCCGTCTTCATGTCACTTCTCGGCCTGTGGTTTATTGTCCCTCCCTCCTCCACCCCCTCCAAGGCTGATTCACAAAGATTTTTTAATTCCTATTAAGCTCAGCGAGACAAAATAATTGTATTTGGGAACAAATGTGACAGCTAGAAAGAACAGAAACCTTTCTGTCGGCATCAGCTGGTGCCTCAGCCCCACCATCCAGCTCAGACACTGGCACCACCGTGGCTGGGGCTGGTCCTGGAGGAGGAGACCCACGTCCTAAACCAGGTCTGACAGTTGGGACGTGTCGATAACCCAGTGCGGAGGACGCAGGGGCAGTGTGGTGGGATGCCACTGAGCTGCTGCTGTCCCCAACCGTCCCCTACATTTCAGCTACGTTATTAAGGCCACCGCTTTCAGATGGGAAAGAGGTTTGTTTTAGGGCAAGGGGCACATCTGCGTGGCCAAAATCGATGCAGGACAACGCGGGCACCCCCGGGAAAGCTCTGAACCATGGTGGCATGAGCTGCCAAGGGTCCACCAAGTGCCCCATACAGTGAGGCTCTCGCGGGTGAGCCCGCCTCTCCTGGTCCTCCCCGGCACCCAGCCACAGCCCAAGCCCATGCACCACAACTGCCACGTGTGGGTGCGGGAGGATCTCGGTCCCGGCCGTGCCCCCGGAGTGCCCGTGGGCCGGGGCCAGCTCCGTGGCATGCGACCACACCACAGCACGTGCCAGCTCGCGCAACATGCTGACCTCCGCTGAAACCACAGCAGCTGAGCGCCAAGCAATCTGCCGTTCAAGGCTGACGTCCAGTGCCTATCTTATATCTTGCCAATTAAAAAGAAGCTAAAAATAGCAGAGGAAAGGAAAAAAAACCCCACAGACCACACATTTGTATTGTAAAAGAAGCTTTGGAATCAAAACTGCTGGACTGAGACGTTACTGACAGCAAGAGAAATTCCTGAAAAGTACAATCAGGTCAAAGAGATGACACCTATCAAGGCTAGAAAGCTCATTAGTCTCATCCAGGCTGCTGAGCAAAGTTAATTGCAGACCACGGTAAGGTGAGGTTTGCCCCTACACCCTCCCCGCTGACAGCGAGGAGATCAGCTGCAGGACACCTTAGGTGGTGCCCATTGATTCACCAGCTCCTTGGCCAAGCACTAAAGGCTGCCCAACTAATCCAAGTATCTGAAAAGCGAGACCACCTAATTTCCCAGGAATTGGGAAGATTTTTGTTTGGCTTATGTGATTTAATGCCCTTCGGCTGCTCATTTTGTGCTGCATCCAACACCGGTGCTTGTATCCATCCATCACGCCCCCATGCTTTGCTTACCTGCTCCCTCCCAGACCAACTTTAAAGAGGTCTTACACTATCTACAACTGCAGTTATAGAATGAAATCCCCATTTTTTTCCTCCAGGCATTTTAGCCCAGAGTCCATCCCCCCTGTAGCCAAAAGGTTCTTCTTAGGCACAGAGCTAAATGCTCTTGCACAGACTCTGGCGTTTGGTTTCACGACACCAATTTTATCACAGACAGCACCTTGCCCAACTCGGACTGCTGCAGAAGGAGACGATGACTATAGCTTCTCCACGTGAGATGTTGAACAGTCAATAAAGCACCATGAAAACCATCCTTGGGAGTTCCCGGTCCACTTTGTCCACACATCAACTGCAAAACCAGCCTGAGACGTGCATCTGCCTGGGAGACCCACCCAAGTGAGACCTCTTGCCATTGCAGCAGCGCTGCTGGTGATGACCAAGGTCATGCTGCTCAAAGCCAATTTGGGCGTCTCTGGTCAAACCGCGGTGCCAGCAGCATGCACACACCCGGTCCCCGACGCGACTTGCAGTGGGGAGATGTACCCCTGCGCCTCTTCCCTGCAGGAGGGGGATTTTCAAAGGAATACACGTTTAGTTGGTGGGTATGCTGGGAAGCAACCTTTTGGGATCAAGCCAATGTTTTACTTATGCTATGAAATAATTCAGACAGCTACTGAGGGTCAATTCCCTCGCGCTCCATTAGCCTGGTTAGCGGCAGCCTCGTCCCGCTGAAGTGGAGGGCTGGGAACAACACACAAGAGCTCTTTGTGTGCTGTTTGCATCTCGGAGAGGATGGATTTATCCCATGTTCACCTACCGCCGGGGGCGGCGCAGCCACGGACAGTCCTCCTGTCCTTAAAGAGCCTTTATCAGCAGGGTCTTGCCCTGGAGTAAGCTTGTGTTGGAGTGGGTAGGGAGGCAGAGGCAATGAATGCAGCTCTCAGCTCCTTAGGACATACAAGGAAAATAAAAATACACCCCCCCAGCTGCAGGAGCGTGCCAGCGTGCTCCTCTGCACAGACCCTCACTGCCCACGGCCCACAGGCTGCGAGCAGCTGCGCACGTCTGCTGAGCGGGATGTCCTGGTGCAGCAGGGATGCCCAAAGCTGGTGAGAAGGATAATCATAGAATCACAGAATGGTTTGGGTTGGGAGGGACCTTTGAAGATCATCTAGTCCAACCCCCCTGCCGTGGGCAGGGACACCTTCCACTAGACCAGGTTGCACAAAGCCCCGTCCAACCTGGCCTTGAACACTTCCAGGGGTGGGGTATCCACAACTCCTCTGGGCAACCTGCTCCAGTGCCTCACCACCCTCATTGTAAAACATTTCTTCCTTATGTCCAACCTAAACCTACCCTCTGCCAGTTTAAAGCCATTGCCCCTTGTCCTGTCACTACAGGCCCTGCTAAAAAGTTTGTCCCCGTCTTTCTTACAAGTCCCCTTTAAGTATTGAAAGGCTGCAGTAAGGTGTCTCCAGAGCATTCTCTTCTCCAGGCTAAACAACCCCAACTCTCTCAGCCTTTCTCCATAGCATAGGTCTTCCATCC